TCTTGAAAACTTCATTTGTATACTCCCTGAAGGCAGCAGCTGTCAGCTCACCGTTTACCAGACAGTGGAAACTACCTGTGGGACAAAGGACAGGCCCTGCTCCTCAGCTGTGGGCCCAATAGGGGATCTGCCAGCAAATCTGAATCACAGGAGCGCTGCCTCAGCCAAGCCTGAGCTCCCAGCAACAGCATGTCTATGCCATCTGCATAACACAGGGTTTTGCCTAGTCCCACCTGCTGGGACTTGTGGGTCTAGGCATCCTGTAGGTACTTAGTAAAGTCCAGGCACACTGGTCTCACTGAGGCCAAAGCTTCAAGGGTAGCCAAGCCAGGGAAAGACACCTCAGGTAACAAGATCAATGCTCACATTCCTAACGCCTCTTCTTTCTCTCTGAGATAGGGTCTTACTATGTAGCCCTGGCCAGTGTTGAACTCACAGAGATCTGCCTGCCTCTGCCCCTGCCTCTGCCTCTGCCTCCCAAGTGCTGGGATCAAAGGTGTGTGCCACAATGCCTGGCCTACATCTCTCTCTTGAGGTGAATCCTTTCCCTGGGGTGTTAGTGGCGCTGAGGGTGGTGGTGGATAAGAACAGCAGGTTTCTAATTACCCTGAGTCTCAAGGGTCATGTGCTTGGTGGTGAGCATTTGTCTAACTTTCAGCAGACCCTGGATTCTGTCCCCAGCACAGCCAGACAACAGCAATGACAAAAACAACCTAGTCAATTACTCTGAGCCTCTTTTGCTGACTTGAAGGTGACCCACCCTGCCAGGACTGCTGGAATTTAGTCAGACCAGGCCCTGGGCCTGCCTTTCAAAGCCCACTTCTTGTCTGCATAAAACAGGCCCTGAGCCCAGTAGAGGGGACACAGGCGGTCCCACAGATGGCCTGGCCTCCTGCAGTGGGGTCACTGGGAATTCTGTGTTTCATCAAATATTGCTGGGCTACAAAGTTTTATTTGAAAATAATTTTAATTAGCCGGAAACTAGGAGTTTAATAAATGGAAAACAGAACTTTCCAAGGCCACAGCTGGGAAACACTTGCTTTTTTAAAAATTCCGCCTGGCTTCCCAGGCCAGCTAAGCACCCTGACAAGAGGGCCCCAAGTGCCAGACAAACCCACAAGGAAAACAAAGCTTATTTTTAGAGAAATATTTTAAACTTGGTTTCAGTGAGCTCAGGAGTTTTCTTGCCTGTCCCCAGTCCTTAATATCATCCCTTCTATTCCAGAGCTGTCTCTCCTGGCACAAGAACTTCTATCTGACAGGAGCTATTTCTGCCCAGATGAAAATATGAGGGCCCCTCCCTCTGCCTCCAGAGAATGAATTGTTGCTAAAAATGTCCCCGCAGACAGCAAGGGGCCCATGAGCCCTGTCCTTGGCAGGTGTGCCCAGCAATAAAGGTGGCACTCTGGGGTCCCTGCAGGCCTGGGGATGGATGGTCACCCTCCCATCCAGCCCTGGCTTGTCCCGGCCCATCAGGAAGTGAATGGCAGCCCGGTAGTCATTTCTGGGTTTTGAAAGCAGTTTTTAAACTTGAAAGAGGCCTGCTACGAAGGGGTGCTTTTCCTCTGTAGGTGTTAGTAAAACATCCCCCACCCCCCACCCCCATACAGACACACCCCACACCACGCTGACACATCCAGACCCAAACACAAGCAGTACCTGCAGCTCTTCACACCTCACAGGCTCACACACCTACCCCCACAGCAGCAGTCACCAGCACGCCGAAACCCACAGCCACTCACACACAGCAGAGCACATAGCAACACCCACCACTGCAACACTTACATTCACCTGCATACACACTCCATATCATAACAGACATACCTATACCCAGACCCAAACACACAAGTACACCCACAGATCCCCACATCCTCAAACCCTACATTCCTACCTACACAACAGCAGACACACCCAAACCCACACTCACATTTGCATGCAGATCTAAACACTCGTACAGGCAATTCCCACAGCACGAGACAATCAGCAACACCTAGAGACCTTGTACTCTGCAGACACTCAAGCCCTCCTACATCAGCATATATGTATAGAAACACAGACCCACCGATTCTTCCCTGCATCCACTACACATATCACAGACCCTTCCTGAATAGTTGGGCAACACCCATAAACATCTTTTTTTTTTTTTTTTGAAACAGGGTCTTAGTATGTAGCCCTGGCTAGCCAGCATTCATTATGTAGACCAGGATGGCCTTGAACTCAAGAGGTCAGCCTGCTTCTGACCCTCCCAAGTACTAGGATTAAAGGCATGTGCTACCATGGCCAGCAAGCCACAAATATTTGTATACCCATATAGACACCCAGGACTTACAGATACAAATCCGCCTTCCACACTCCCATGGGCCTCCCTCTAGAGACAACCCTCCATGCACACCCACATGTCCTGAAACACACACTCTAGCACTTTCCAGCTCCGCTGAACAGGAGAGCCTAGAAGGGGTGCAGTAGTGGTTGCCTGTTCCTGCCTTCTTCAGGATCCTGCCCTGCTTCAACTTTCTCTTTCCTTCCTTCTTTCCTTCTTGCCAGCAGCTTAGAGCAGGAACTGCCCAGGAGAGTAGAGATGAAATTATCAACACAATGAAATAACAGCTAGGTGTGGTAACCTACACCTGCAATCTCAACTCACTGGAGGCTGAGGCAGGAGGATCTGGAGTTCCAAGGTAGCTGAGCCTACAAAGACCCTGTCTCAACAAACCAACAAGGGGTTAAAACAATAGAGATGGACAGCCTGGCTGGCTTCAGTTCCAAAGCGCGTCAGCCTAAAAGGGCTGCAACTTCCGGTTTCAAGAAAACTGGGTGAGAGTCACATCCGCCCTCATTTGTCACCACAAGCAAAGCTGGAGGACAGCAGTGTCTGTTGGGTAGGTTTCTTCCCAAGGTTTAATGCTCTTATAGGCTTGCTCTCTGTGCATGCCCACCCTGAGGCTTTCCTGAGAACACTGAGCATTCTCCCTCAGGACCAGATCTGACAGAGGAGAGGCAGGCCTGCCATCTTTTCTGCATCATAGGGCTACCAGGCCAGGCAGGACTCACAATCCTCCACCTATTCCCCTGGGCCAGTGCAGAGCTTCCTCTTCAACTCAGTGTTCTGAATTTTACACATCTAGCAGTAGATTCAGACAGCGGGAGGGGTGGAAAATCCATACAAATACACATCCTTTTTCAGAAATAATTTAGAAGGTGGTGCACACTAATTGGATTGTTTTAAAAACAACTTAGTTCTAAGCAGCTAGTGGAAACCCCTCTTCAAACCATCACCGACCGTCTGGGCTCACAAGTGACCATGAAAAAGAATCCTATCTTGACTCAGCCTGGAGCTACAGTTTTAGTTCCATTCTGAAGCCCATGGGTGGATGGTGGCTAATCCCACTTTGTCCTTACTTGCAAGTTTTACTTCTAGTTCCTCAATTTACAAGAGAGCTGTCCTGAGGGTGATCAAGTGCAGGCTGTTTGCTGTTCATCCTAGCCACTGCAGGACAATGACCAGGAGCCTCCATTGATATACAGGCGAGAACACTTCTGAATGATTCCCCTAGCTTTCCATGCATCAACGGGCGTAAAACACAAAACTTCAGATCCCAGCAGTTGGGCTTTTAAACAGAGAAGTTTTTAAGAAATGAATGTGGCTTACCCCATAAAGAAGTCCAACATTCCAGCTGATCAAAAGTACTTGTTTAGAAAAATAAGTTTGGGAGTGAAGTGGAAACAAGGTCTTTGAAATGAAGCCGGGCCTAAATAGCTCCAGAGGAGATGCTCCTCCCCACTGCATTCTTTATGGGGAAGAGGCCAGTGAGCTGCAGGGGCTTCTCCCAGTGGCAGGCCTTCTCGGCCTCCGGCTCCCCGCTCCCCCAGAGGCCCCACATCTGGGAGAACTTTGAAACTGCTCCCCACTCTCTTTTGGCAGCATGTACCGAGCACCCAAAAAAACCCACCACCAACCAACCAACCAAACGCTCCAGTGAACACCAGCTCCATCCTCCTTAACTGGAAACAGCTGCCTGAGCCTGGCTCATCCTTCAGAAACCCCCACCTCTCCTGCTCAGCTGTGAGTCATAAAAGACCCTGACCAAAGCAGCGCCAGCCAGAGGGGGCAAGGATTGGTAGATAGAGCCCAGCTGTTGCCGATAACAAAGCAAACTTGCTAAATCTCTCGCCTACTTTGGAAAAAGTGTCTGGACCATGTGTGTATGGGGGTGGAGGAAGAGAAAAACCAAATTGACTTATTTGATTTTGTTTTAAAGGGATTGTGTTAAAATGAGCAGGGGAAAAAAAGTGACTATAGAGTTTGCTTAACTGTTTGAGAACCAGGCAAATCAATGCAGTCTCTCCACCCCCCCACCCCCCCTTTTCTAGAGGCCTGGTTGAATTTGCTTTCTGGCCTCTTCAGTCATCTAAAGGCCAGACACTAATTCCTTTTGCATAAATAGCTCATATGTGCTCATTCCCAGAGGAAGTTGTCTATGTAAACAAACATCACCCAGATATAAGTTTAACCAGTTTAATCTTCTTCCCTCCCTCTCTGACCAAGGACATAACCCAGATTTCCAAAATCCAAGCCAAACTCCAGCCCTCCAACTCCTAATGCCTAGTCCAAACCTGCACACCCAACTCTGCTTTAAAGCCCCCACAGGCCAGGGTCAGGCATCCTAGAGAAAAATTGGAACTTCAACAGCCAGAGCAGCCACGTGATCCACTGGGTGACTCACAGGCGGGCCACACCCCCTGAGGTCTCCCGCCAGGCCCTGCCACCAGTCAGTCAGCCTACACAGGGATGCATCTTATTAGCAATGGGAACAACTAACAAATGCCCTTGACAGCCAAATAATTACTTTCTTTCAGCTGAAAGAACTTGTTATAAAATAAATACAGGTAAGTGGATGCAGGATCCTGTGAGCTCTGCCAGCTCCTCACAGCCTCTGCTGAGACCAAGGGAAACCAGGAAGCTAGGCATTTGTGTTTAAAAAGAAAGCTACTTTACTCAATTCTTTTCCCAAAAATTTTATTGGGGGGAAAACTACAAAACATTTACAGTACAACGTTTACAGTCACAATTTGTAGTGAACTGATTCCCCAAAATATATTACAACTCAAGTTGACTTATCTTGTTACATTCAAAATCCTACTTCTGTCAAAGTAGTCCAGAGAGTACATACATAGTGCTCCAACTGTACCTACAAACTAAGCTACCACTCATTCATCCCACCCAGGAAAGCTGGAGACATTCCTGCCTTTTTACATGGAAAAATAAAGAGTACAAGTTTTGGAATCTCCTATAATCAAACAAGGCATATTCGTGTTCTGCATGCCATTTCAGCACAGGTGGCCACTTTGCTTTACAGCTATATAAAAAGTGGTAAAAATCTTTTCCTTTTGTGCAGTTGAACCCATCCTACATTCAAATTCTCTCAAGCACTAATAAAAATACTTATTTGGTTGAGGAAGATTTAAGGCGAGTTTGGCCCCTTCTGAAGGCACTGGGAGACTATTTTCCCCATTATTGCTACATGTCTTTATACTCTAGAATGTCACAGTAGAACTGGTGGAATCAGCAAACACAACATTTTTTCTAGTTTATAAAATCAGAATTAGAAAAGGATACCACATGTAAGCCTGATTGCAAAGGATGTGGTCATTCTTTTTTCCTCTTTAAAGTTGGATGGGCTACAACCATTATACATTCTAAGAAAACTCATAAAATAGTCCTCAAATTACTTCCACAGCATCAAGATAGATTTCTGTAAAGAAATCATGCAATCTTTCGAAATTTACGTAAACAAGGAAAGAAATTAATGAAATAAATATTACATACAATCTCTTAAATTAAGATTTTTTTTACTCATTTACAATAAAATAACCAAGTGAAGTTACAAAAGGCATATATTACTGTGAAAAGAACATACACTCCACATTTTGCCGATTAATAATGGCAATCATAATTTAACATAATAAAAGAATATATATCTATTGCTTTTCATCATACTCGATAAATACAGTATGAACAAAATTCTCAATGTATACTTTTCACAAGATAATAAATAAGTTAAATAGTTTTCTCATATTGAGTTGTGGTGCAGTGGTGCGAATCAACTCAAAACAGCTAAAAATTCAGCAGTTTTTTCCCAACAATTACAAACTAGGCTCTGCCGAAGGATTCCAGAGAGCAGACTGAAATGGTTCTAAGCTAAACATCCACTAAGTGGTGGCAATGAAACCAGTATCAAACTTTGGAATGCAAAGGATCCCCCCCCCCGCAGAGTATTTAAAAAAAACAAAACAACAAAAAAAAAAACCACCCCACAACCTACCGGGCTGAGCACTAATATCAAGGCATATTCTTGGCAGAATATTGGATTCTAGAAGTTCATAGCTTAGGGAGGTGGGAGCCAGCTAGTTTGCTTACACTGGTCAGAGACAAACATTAGGAACTCCTTTCAAGTTTATAGAGTTCTCACATCTGGACTGTAACTAAGGCTTTCAAGTGAGGAGATGGAATGGTGGTTGGTAGCTGCTGGTGCTGGGCTGATTTTTTTTTTTTGTCTACAGTCTCAAAGGCATCTGAGTCCTAAAAGTGTTTGGTATTTTTGTTCTATTCGCATCACAACTGCCCTGTTGTGAATATTTTGTTCATCAATACAAAAGGTTCGTTGGCTTTATTTCAACAAGAACGAAACTTGGTAATAATAAAATAGTAGAAAAAAACGAAACGAGAAAACCGAAAGGGGAGGGGCGGGGCCCCTCCCAGCACAGAGTTCGAGTCCAAGTGCTCGGTTCGGGTCTGCAAATCTGCCTGTGGCTTTGGGCACCCCCAGCAGGGCTGAGACCGCGAGGGGCTCCCCCCAACACCACCTCTCCCTCCAGCTCCTCACTGGCGCCCTCTTGCCTCAGTCGTCGGAGATGGAGAGGCGGCTGAAGATGGGCAGCCGGCGGCCGGGGTCGAGGCTGGGGGACTCCGAGCCACTCAGGCTGCCCGAGCTCAGGGAGCCGCTCAGGTAGCTGTCACGGTCGGACAGCGAGTCCGGGGGGCTGGGGGGCGCGTCGAACACCGGCGACTCGGACAGGCGGCGCGGCAGCTGGAAGCTGAAGGGCGGCGAGGGCGGCGCAGGAGCCGCTGCGGGCAGGGGCGCGGCGGAGGGCGGCGCGGGAGGCGCCAGGCTCTGCTGCTGGCTGCGGTAGTAGGCGGCGGCGGCAGCGGCGAAGTTGTGGGTCTGGATGGCCAGCGGCGTGATGAGGCTGCTCAACTCCGGACCGAAGGCAAAGGCATTGTTGGCGCACGAGGCGGCCGAGCAGGCGGCGCACGGCGCCCCGGGAGTCAGTAGGTCCTCCGCGCCGCCGCCGTATAGCAGTGCGGCAGCCGCCGCCGAGGCGCAGCAGGTCGGGGCGCCCGAGGGCGTGGAGGCCGCCGAGGCCGAGGAACAGGACGAGGCGGACGAGGAGCAGGACGAGGCGGAGGAGCAGGAGGGCGGCGGAGGCGTGCGCGACGTGGGGCTGTCGAGCAGCAGCGGCGACTCGAGGCCCCCCGGGGGCTGGTGGTGGCCGGACGGGAAGCCCGAGAAGCTGAGGCTGTGGTGCAGCTTAGGCCGCGGCTCGCGGGGGAAGCCCAGGTGCAGCGCGTCGCGGGCGCTGAAAGAGCGCAGGTCCCCGGAGGCGCCGCCCCCCGACGGCGCGGGCCGCCGCTCGTCCGCGTTGTGGATGAAGTGGCAGCGGGGGCCGTAGGGGCAAAAACCAATGGTGTGGAAAGTGCGGCACAGCTCGGTCTTGTACTTGGGGTGCCGCGTGAGGCTGCGCAGCTCGTGGAAGCCGTGCGCGAACTGACACTTCTCGCCGTACTTGCACGTGCCGCTCTCCTCAAAAGGGCGGCACAGCTCCGTCTTGTAGCGCGTCGAGTTGATCTGGGAGCCGCTGCCCCCCTTCTGCTGCTGCTGCTGCTGCAGGTGCAGGAGGTGCTGGCTGCGCTCGCCGTTCTCGCTGAACGAGCGGTCCCGGAATTTGTTCTCCTTGTTGAGTAACGCCGTGCCGGTGCCCCCCGACGGCTCCTTCAGCGGCCCATAGGGGGCTGGGCCTCCCGCCCCCGCGGGGCCGCAGCTACCGCCGTTAGCAGCGCCCGGGAACTTGGGCGAGCAGCTGCCCGGGTTGGGAGCGGGATGGGCGAGCGCGTGCAGGTTGCTGGCCGAGTGCCGTCGGAGGAAGCCCGGCGTGAAGCTCGAGCTGGAGGCGGCGGCCACGGGCGTCCCCACCGCCTTCTTGTCTAGCATACTGTTCAGACTGAGGTTGGCCAGCGATTTCTCCGTCTGCCAAAGGGAGGGGAGCGAGGAAGGGATGAAGACCGGCAGGGGAAGGAAAAGTCGGGGTGAACTGAGGAGGAAATTCCCTGTCCCTCCTTTGCTCCCCGTTTATTTTTTCACATTTCGACTCGGCCCCCACTCTTCACACACGTACAAAAACGCAACCTCAGGAGTGGAGGACGCCCACCCCGACCGCGCCGGGGTTAGCCATGTGATCCCGGGCCCGTGGGCCGCGGGAGGGAGGCGCAAACACCGTCCGGGAAGTCCCGGGCAGCGTGGCCGCAGTCGGCTCGGATACCAAACAGCCACGGCCGCTCCCTCCTGCCTTCTCCCCGCCCACAAGGCGCGAGCACACACGACTACGGACTCCAGGATTTTTCTCCACCCGAAAAGTCAACTTGGAAAGGGCCCTCCCCGCCCCCAAAGCCGGGGACCTGGAGGCGAAGTGTGGGGTTCCCGCCGTCCTCTCTTCCCCGCTTACCTTGCACAAGAAGTCGATGTCGTAGAAGGCCGACAGAAGTGTGGTCGACATTTTTCTGGGTCCTGTAGTGGTCGGAGCCGCAAACGGGGAGGTTGGGAGGAGCCCTCGGGGCGGCGCGGCCGGGCTCGAGCCACGACGAATAACGGGCGAGGGGCGGGGAGGAACGGAAAGTTTGCTTCGGAGGCCGAGAGAGAGAGAGAGAGAGAGAGAGAGAGAAAGCGGTAGCGTGGAGCGGGCTGAGAGGGCTCTGGAGTGCGGAGTGGGGGGACAGAGGAGAAGCGAAGAGGGCTGTCGGCGCCCCGGGGTGCCCGGCCCGCCCCCCGCGCGGAGCCGACGGCAGCTCGCGAACTGCTGGAACTCCGGGGCCCGTGAGCGCGCGCCCTATATAGGGCCCCAGAGAGGAGCAGCGGGGAGGGCGCGCCGGGGGAGGGGACAGAGCGCTGACCCCGCCGGGGTCTCCAGGCAACGCCTCCTGCCGGCTCGCGGACGTCAGGCAACTTTCCGGCTTCTCATTGGTCGCCGCCAATTTTTTGCCCCCCCCTTTCTGGGTGAGGGGGCGGGGCGGGGCGGGGCGGCAGGCCCGGCGCCCGGGCAGCGTGGAGAGCTCCGCTCAGTTGGACGCTGCTCGGTGCCGGCGGCTGCGGCAGATCATGGTGTCCTCCGCCTCTGGGGCTGGAGCGTTGGAAAGTCCCACCATGTTCTACCTGCGATCCGGCTTCTGCAGTCCTGGACGTGTGGTTTCTTGGTCCGAACCTGCTGGGCGGACTTGTGCAGCTTTTATCTCCTATCCTCCGTTTTGTACCTGTCCCGGGAATTGCAAAATACAACAGTATTGCAACCGTGTGCGTGGCCCGGCTGGTCGGCAAAGGGTGCTCTGACCTAGGGGTCCAGGGGATCCTGACTTGTCCATAGGTGGCAGCTTGGGTAGGGCTGCACGTGGAGACGTGGTGGGGGTGGCGGCCGCGGCATACTAGCCCGAAGGAGCTCGGGCCGGTTTCTCCGCCCCACTCCCCGCCCGGGCTCTGTAAACAGGACTTGAGCGCCGGGGCCTGTCGGGCAGGGCTGTGTCTTAAGGACAAGGCACTGGCTTTGCTAATCACATCACAAGACCTTGAGCCTGGGCCAAAGGCGCGCAGTGGCGCGGTGCGTCCGGGGCTGCAGAGCCGACGCGGAGCACGGAAGGGAAGCTGGGGAGAGCAGTGCAGCACGGAGGAGGCCACTTCCTCCACCCCTTCCGTCTGCTGGTCGGCCTGGCCCTCCCCAACCCTCACGGGGGTTGGGGTGCAGCTGCTGGCCAAGGCTTCCCGCCCGGCTCAACCTTGGCCTGTCGCGTCCTGCAAGCTCCTTCCCTCTTCGGCAGTGAGAGGCGCCGCACAACAGGATCACCTAAGTTCGTGCTGGCTGCCGGATCCAGTGGTTGCAGAGCCGCCACCCAGGTGGAAGGTTTTATTCTGTAGGCTCGGCACAACCCACAGCAGCTTGCACTGAGGAACGCGTCTTCCCAAGAGGCGCCTGGCTAGCGTCCTGAGACGGGGCAGACACCCCCACCTAGTGCCTAGTGTGGCTAAAGCCGCTGACGGCCCTAATCCGTGGTCCTGAACCTTTCTCGTTACACTGAGTCCATACTGGCTGTCAAAAAGTTGGAGTCGGCCCATGATTTCACCCAGCTGCCAGTGGAAGGCCCAGCAGCTGCCAGGGAAGGACCCACACCCTTCCAACGTTGTTTTTCCTGTCTGCTTGTACTTAGTCCTTCCAGTGCACACCTGGGTAGCAGCAGTTAACCTGGAAGGGAGGGAGGTAGGCTTGTCGCTCAGGACTGGCTTCTGAGTCTGATGCGCATTTCCTGATGCAGCAGTCCCTACTGCCCAGGGAGTTAGAGCCGTGCTCTGGAGGACTTTAGGACCAGAAATACAGGGCTGAGCAGGTGTGATGGTGTGATGACTCATGCCTATAATCCTGGCACTTGGGAGGTCAAAGCAGGAGAACTGCTGTGAGTTTTAGACTAGCCTGGTTCACTTTGAGCCTATCTTAAAAAAAAAAAAAAAAAAAAAAAAAAAGGAAAAGAAATACCGGGATGGAATTCAGGCTCAGCTTGCTGGGTTTGGTACTTGTTTTTTTGTTTTTGTTTTTTTTTTACTTGAAACACAAAGATAATAAAATCAGTCCCTCACCTCTGTCAAGGTACAAATGAAATATCCATGAAGTTGTTCTAAAGATAAACAAGCACACAGCATCTTAGACATTAGAACAGATGGGCAAAGAGAGAGATGCCAGGCATCCGGAGGGCCACAGAATCCTGAGTACAGAGCCAGGGGTCACCAAAGTCTTAAGACCCTAAAGATTGGAGTCAAAAGTGACTTCAGAAAAGGTAGCTCTTTCGCTCTTCCCACCTATCCTGCTCTGGCCCCTACTGAGGGCTAGCAGCTGTGGCTGAAATGACCCCAAACATGAGCTTGAGCACCTGAGAGGTTCTGGGATGTATCTGGAAAGTAAGCAGCAGTCATTTCCTTAGTTGCTGCTATTAGGTCAGTAGCAAAATTTCACATACAAATCCATGGACACATTGGTTCCTCCTTTCCTTTCAGGCTGGCCAGTGCCAGCCAAGATCCAAATCTGGGGCAATTCTCAGCCAACAATGGCAAGAACGCCCACTTGGTAGACTTGCTAGTATTCTGGAGAACATAAACATGTTCTGGTATATCCTTTGGTGCAGAATGCCCGCTAGTGTAAGATATTTTTGTTACATAACTGCTTTTATTTCATTTAAATGGGGAAATAAGGGAGTGCTGTCCTTTTCAATGAGCTTGGCTTTGTCCTTTCCATATTATCTCCACATCACACCAGTAGTCACCAACTTCTCACCCACTAGGTCTTAGAACAAAATAGTGTAATGCTGAGCATGGTGGAGTGCCTGTAATCTCTGCACTCAGGAGACAGATTCAGGAGGACGACTAGGTGTTTGAAGCTAGCCTGGTCTAAATAGAAAGACCCTATCTCAAAAAATAAAAATAAAAGCAAAACCAAACTAAAAAAACCAAAAACTTTAGGTTGTCAGCTTTCCATCAGGTGTGGGCTTCACCAGTGTCTAACTAGGTAATTAATTCAGGATCACTCAGACCACATTTAGGGTTGAATGTTTGCAAAGGGAGTTTTTTGCTCACTTTTGGATGACATCTTGAACACTGGTTAACTCCTTTCCTCTTCCTGCAGAGCCCTTTCTCTACACCTCCAGCATGGCTGTGTGTTTATAGTGTTAGGTGGTGGTATTCCTCTCAGATACCAACTACTTTTGAAATCTCAGCTTTTCTGCAATAAGGAAAGGCATATCAAATGCCTCTCTCATCTGCACTCTCAACCACCCACCTTCCACACTAAGTGACCACTCACCCAAGAAACAGTTGAACATATTTATAGGCCCTAAAAGTTTATATGCCTGACATGGTCTTTTTAGATAATCAGGAATGTGGATAGAGCTACAAGTCATCCAAGCTATGAATCTGAAGGTAACTGTCCATGGGTGACACTTATTCTGAAAGTATATATTAAAATGGAAAGCTGGGCCATTGAGATGGCTCAGCAGGTAAAGGTGCTTGCTATGCAAGCCTGAACCTGAGTTCTATCCCTCAAACCCATATAAAGATGGAAGGACACTCCACAGAGTCGTCCTCTGAGCTCCACATGCATGCTGTGGCACACAGCGCCCCCCCCCCCATACAACACACACTAATCAAAGTCTGAAAACATTTTTTTCATTTTTTCTTTATTGATGTTTTGCATAGCCCAAACAATCTTATTCATCTATATACCCACATTCCAAATGGCACCCTCCCATAGCGCCCCCCCCTCCACTGGAGCCATATACTGTCATCCCTGTGACTGTCCACTGTGTTGTTGGCACCCCCAGCTGTTCCCCAGTGCTTATCCATCTGCTGAGTCTAGTCAGCCTATCTAGAATTCCTTGTTTTAGGAAGATCAGCTCTTCCTCACCTAGCAGCAAACAGTTGTTTTAGGTGGCTAAGCCAATGAAATAGATCAGCAAATATAATGTGTGCAGGAGTGCCACCTGCTGGGTGTCAGAGGAAGAGGGCTGCGCTGGGCCAAAAAACCCTGAAGGTTTCTAGATGAAACCATCGAATGGATATGTTTATTTGCATCTGAAATGAGATACTTCCACCAAGCACAGGTCAGTAGATAGCACTGGCATCAAATGAATGAGGCCTCTGTCCTGGCTCTCCTTTTCCCATGTTCCTTCTAACATCAGGCAATACATATTGGGTGACCAATCAGGTTTCCTAACATTCACAAACATTTCTGGGGAGAAAGGAGGCATTCTTAACATGGGCATTACAGGACTAGCACATGTAGACAATAAAACACCGCATTTGTATGAGGTTGAGTCTCACTGAATTCTCCCAGGACCCAACATTTGGAACATATTTCTCCTCTGCTAAAATAAGAATAAAATTTAAAATATGACCAAGTGGGTTGTTTGCCAACTAATCCAGTCTTTATATACAGCCCAAAACAGCAGTGATGGTGGTGAAATCTTGTGTGTTAAAACTCAATGCAGTGCATAGAAAACAGGCTTTGGCTGGACTCTGGCAGTCCTGGGGGATGGAAAAGGCCAATTTAGGCCTGTAGGTGGCCTGTACCTGGGGCCAAAGTGAATATTCAATGTGGTAGCCTTACTTCCTACAGAAGCTGCAAGAAATCGGGCTGCTTCTAGTGAATTTGATGCAAAAGCCCTCTTAGGAAGTGACAGGACCTAGACTCCTAGAAGTGAGCAGGGAATGAAGGGAGGGTTGCAATGTTCGATTATGTCTCTTGCAGACTTTGGGGGATAATCTACCTTCTACCCCAGTCTTCTTTCTTCAACATGTTGCTTCTGTTCTTGTTCTTGGGGCTATTAACTCTCCCCATTCTGCAGGACAGTCTTCAGTGCTGGGAACTTCCTTTCCTTCCAGAAAGGCCAGCAGCTTAAGGCCAGCCAAAGTCCTTTCTTCCTGAATGCGCAGCCTAGTGTACTCCACTGTCTTCAAAAACTCAGGGGTGAGTGGAAGTTGTTTGAAAAGCTGAGAGAGGAGGTGGTGCTGCTCTGAGGCTATCCTTTGCAGGTGACAGATCCTCTCCGAGTGAGGGGACTGCCAGCCAGACTCACAGAGGAGGTGAAAGAGGTGTCTGCAGAGGTATTTCACGAAGGTCAGGGTCTCAGCCCAAAAATTGACTTCCGATTTTTCAAATATGTGATCATCTTCCCCCTACATCAGATAAAAACACCAAAATAAACAGTGCTGACAAGCCCCAGACACACCAAGCAGGGTCCTGCCTGTTGGAGGTGAAAGGTGTGTCCCCTCCTCCAGCTGACAGGGGGCCCACTCAGGCCTGCCAACACCCATGCTCACACCGTTTGCAGCTTTGAAGGTCACCCTCTATTTCCACTCCTTGTACTTCTCTACCAGAGATGATTATTTTTCCTCCCAGACTTAACAAGACCTTTGAATAAAGATGTGTAGGTAGTTTAAAGCCAAGATATTTAGGGACCTGATACTGAAAAGGGGACCTTGACAAGGAAGTAGATCTTAGGTCTTAAGGTGTGCTGAGAAATCAGAGGAGGAAGCAGGGGAATCTGCAGTAGAGTCAAGAGTTACTGAGCACAAGACACGAGCCTCTAAGTATGAGACCCAATTTCTAGAATGTGATGGGGTGTCAAGGTCATTTTATTGCAAACACTTTATCATATCTCCGCATGTTCCATAATCAGAGTGAGTTTTGAACTCTTGGTCTGTTGAGGACGCTGAGACAGCAGGCAGGAAGAGTCATATGGGTGGGCATGGATTCCTGTTTTCCAGATGCCCCTGTTGCTTATTTTGGCTCACAGTTTCCCAATCTGTGACTATTCCTTGCCACTCTAGAGGAGGGTCAAGCACCAAGCTCCCTAAAAGGACCCCAAATTCTCTGGAAATGCTAAGATCCAGAGTTTTGAGGAGCCCTATGCTAATTACAGGACCTACTAATAAGTGTTTTCCATAATTATATTCTCAATATCCAAGGAACATCTTTCAAAGTATCCTCTCCCACTGGCTTGCCATTGAGCCTGAGTTTGTCCCTGGGTCCCTAGCAGCACCCAGGAGGCATTCTCCTGATCAGGCCATGTTCTGCATTACAGCAGCCAGTGGCACACTTCCCACCATCCATTAAGTTCCTCAGCCTGTCAGTGATGCACTCAGAGGGCTAGGGCACTCTGCCTGCCTGCCAGCATGCCAAATTTTTGGGAATACCTGATGTGGGCTCTGCACAAAACCTTCGAGGCCATCACCTTCTCCCAACAGCCATCCCAGTAGAATGGGCAGTCCTAGCACCAGCTGGTCCCACTGCTGGAGCAAATCACACAGGACAGCTAAGGCCAGGGCCAAAGCAATGGAGGCATCCACCTGGCAGAAGGCAAATTCTGCAGAGAGAGGAGAGAGGCAAGCAATGAATATGCCACTCATGGCCAGCCCTGAAAGTCTGGGGGACTCTGGGAACATAGAGGGTCTTGGGTAAAATCCCTGTCACCACACGGGCCAAGGGAAGGTGAAGGCTCCTAAACCCCTCCTGAGTCCTTCTATCTCTATTGCTAGAATGAATCCTAAGCCTGACTCTACCACCCTCTCCCTCTATCCTGGAGAGGTCCCACCTGCAGGGCTAGATACTTCTCTTCCCTCAGCCCCTCTAGTATAAGTGGAAGGATCAGGAAGCTCTGTCATCTTAGAGCAGAGTGAAACATATTTTCCCTCATGGGCAGAGGGTACCTGTTTTATACTGTACAGGATTTACTGCCTCTGTTGCAACTTCTCTGCCAAAAGCAGGCGAGACAATACATAGAGATGGTGGCTATGTGCCAATAAAACATTATTTATGCATGCCACTATTTGAATTTTGTGTCACAAAATAGTCTTTTCTTTTTCCTGTTTTAGCTAGAGTCTTATACAGTGCAGGCTAGTCTCAAACTGGGTGAGTTGTCATGACCTTGAATTTCTAATTCTCCTGCCTCAACCTCTTGAGTATATGCATGTGCCACCATACCCAGTTTGTAGCCAAGGATCACTTTGAACTTCTGATCTTTCAGCCTTCACCTCCCAAGTGCTGGGATTAAAGGTATGTGCCGCTATGTCCAATGCTGGGAATGGAACCCAAGGTTTTGTACATGCTAGATAAGTACTCTACATTTAAAAATGTGAAAACCACATGCAGCTCACAGGCCATCCAAAAGCAGGTTGTGGGTTATATTTTGCTCATGCTTTTTGCATGCTAGGCAAGTGCTCTACAGTGAGCTACACAGCCCCAGCCCTGGATTTTGCTGAGATTTTGTTGCCCTTTGTCTTGACAATGACTCCCTTCTTCTGCCCCTTGACTTCCTTGCTGTCTAAGGGTGAGGTGCTGAAAGAGAGGGTGTAGAAAAAGAAAGTGGGTACCTTGGGAGAACCCTGCTTACTTCACTGTCTGGCCTTAGTCCTATATATGGGGTCACAAGCAGGTTAAAGGTACTGTCACTCCTACCACCAACTCAGCCCTTCCCATCCCAACCAGCAGGTGGCTTGAACTTCAAGAATGAAGTCCCTCAATTTAGAGAGTAGGCCTTTGCATATCTCTCCCGCATCAACCCCTGCCATTAATGCTAAATTTCTGTCAAACCCTCAGTTCTCGTAAAGACACATCTCCAGCTTTATCCTGACTATCTGGTACTCAGCACCAGAGAGAAGGTTGAAATCTGCAATAAAAGGCTGAGTCCCTCAGGCTGTTGAACTAGGCTTATGGGGTGCCACCATGGAAGCTCTATGACATGTCAGGCCCTGATCAGGTGCCTGATTTCCAATCCTTTCAACAACTATACTTTTTTATTTTTATTTTTTTGGTGGTTCTGGGGCCTTGGGCATGCTAGACAAGTGCTTTGCCACTGAGCTACATCCCCAGCCCCCAAATCTAAGGAATGGGCATTACCACCCCTGCTTCACAGATGAGGAACTTGGGGTTTAAGCTAACCCACTGTGTACATTCACAGAGCTCCAAGTGACTTAAGAAACCAGAATTACTAACAGTCTCTTGGAACACATGAAATACAAAGTAGGAGAGCAGAATGCTTTTTTTTTTTTTTTTTTTTAACGGTGGCTGTCTAGCAGGGTCAGCACTACTTAGAGGCCACAAAGACGGGTCTCAGTTCCCATAAGCATTCATAGAACTGATCCCTCCATTTGCAGTCCCTGTTCTCCATATGGCTTGCTCTACAGCTAAACACTGGGGCACAGGTGCAAGTCTGAACCATTGGTGGTGGTGTGGTGCTAAATATAACTCAGTGCAGACTGCCCCTTCCTTCCGTGTGGCACAGCGACAGGGAAACCTGCCCAGGAATCTGTGAAGGTGAACAAGGTATGCTGGCTTTACCACTTTAGTCATTTAAAAGGGCACAACTGTAAGTCCTTAGTATTTTGGAATTAGCAGCAGTTGATCTTGAGACCTTCTAGAAAAACCCACCTCTGCCTGACCTTCCTTCTTTTTCTTTTTTTGATCTTAAGGCAAGGACTGAAGGCCCTTGAAGAAAGATGAAAGTTTCTCCTATAGTAAAATCAGTGCCTGCAGCTCAGGTGACACATCTGCTGGATCCAATAAAGAGCACATAGGGGTGATGAGAAATGCCACCATGAAGGCCAGCTTGCTACACTGGCCCCACCTGACAGGAAAATGGCCTTGCTCTGTGCCATTTGCTATGAGTCATGCTTAGGAAGGGGCAGGAGAATGAGGGGATGACAGGTACAACAAGAACCAGTGTGGCATGGCTGGATGTGCACTCGGAGAGGATCACAATCCTACAGTACTGGAGGGGGTTGGGGAAGAGGAGGGAAGCTGAAATTCGGGGATTAGATGGATTCAGGTCTCCTGCCTGAAGGGCCAAGTCAGCCACACATTCTCTGGCTGACTACTTGATCTTGGACTAAAGTTAGCCAGAAAAGCCTCAATCCCTACTGGCCAAGTTGCTTCTCAAAGGGAGACTAGGAAGGAGGGAAAGGGATTTTCCACTTATTACTCAGGCTGGCTAGTCCGTCAAGGAAGAAAGCCAGCAACCAAGCAACAAGTGTGGTTAGGAATCTGCTGTGCACCCAGCATAGCCAAATGATCTTGAAAAAAACAGAAAACAAAAACCAAAAGCACAATCAGAGAACTTCCATTTCTGGATTTCAAAACCTATCACAAAGCTATAAGAATCAAGGCGCTGTGTGTGTGTACATGCGTGCGTGCGTGCGTGTGTGTCTGTGTGTGTGTGTGTGTGTGTGTGTGTGTATGCTGAATTCAGGGCTTCATGGATGTTAAACATTTACCAACATTGAGCTACACCTCCAGCTTGGCAGTGTGGTACTAACAGGAGGACAGATATATGATCAATGGAACTGACAGTGTAGAAACAATGGGGCTGGGGATGTAGCTCAGATCGTAGAGTACTTGGGGGCATATGCATGAAGTCCCGAGTTCAGTCCTCAGCACCTCATAAACAGGGTGGTAAACACCTGTAATCCCAGGACTCAGGAGGTGGAAGCAGGAGGATCAGGAATTCAAGGCCAGCCCTGGGTACAAAGTGAGTTCAAGGCCAGCTGGTCTACATCAGATCCTGTCTCAAAAAACAAAAACATGACATATAAAATTTAAAAAAAAAAAAAGAACTGGAGAGATGGCTCAGTGGTTAAGAGCAGTAGCTGCTCTTGCAGAACACATGAGTTCCATTCCCAGCATCCACACAGTGGCTAACCACCATCAGTTCCCAGGTTCCGATGCCCTCTTCTGGCCTCCACGATCATTACACAGAAAATAAAAAATAATTAAAAACAACACACACACACACAACCACCAAAAAACCAAAACAAATCACGGCAACACATAAAACCAATAGAACTCACAAAGATACCACATCACATTGGCTAGGATGACTATAATGAAAAAAAGACATTTTAATGAAAGTATAAAAAAATGGAACCCTTTGCTAGTAAAAATGCTGAATGGTGAAATCCCTTTGGAAAACAATCTTGCAGTTTCTCAAAAGACTAAAGCATGTAAGACCCAACATTTCTACTCCTAAGCATAACTAAGAGAAATGAAAACATGTCCACACAAAAACCTGATGAACATTCATAGTGGCCTTGTTCATAACAACCAAAAAGTAGAAACAAAACATCTATTAACTTATGAATGGATAAAGAAAATGTGGTATGTGCATACAGTGGAAAAGTATTCAGCCACCAAAAGGAATGAAGAAGCTGGTGGTCTAAAGTTAGCCTATCATCTAGGCAATAGAGAGCAAGGACATCGGGTATTCAAAGGAGTGGTCCAGATCACAGGAGCCAAAGTAGTTGGGAAGAGATCAGTCAGTGTGAAGAATAAGTAATCTAAGCCAAGAAGAAACATGCCCTGGAGCCCCCACTCCCATCCCAGTGCTCTAAGTAGGTGAGGCTGGCTGGTACATTCCTGTCTGTGGTAGGTCTGGGCATGGGGATTAACATTCACTCATATGGAATCATGGTGGATACACAAGCCAGCTAATTTAGACTTAGTTAATCCAGTGCCTGCCATCCTTGTAAACAGATTGCAGAGGTGGGCAGCAAATGAACCACTTCAGGTTGCTGCACTGCAGACCTCCTTGGGGTTCTTCTGTGAAGGCGGATGCCTGGCTATCAGACACTACCTGTCAGGACACTCATGCTCCTACACTATTTCCTTTCCACCTCCATGAGGATGTCCACATTGGCACTGGTTCTAGTTTGTCTCCTCTATGCTGAGGAAAGTGATTATTAATCTTTAGGTAGATAGGTACCTCATAGGCTTTTCAACTGTACTAATTAAGAGGGAAATGTTGTGGATCTTTTCCATATTGCCTACCAATTGATGAAAATATGGCTCTGTTCACATGTTATCGACGTCTGAAAACTATTTCAGACAGCAGATTATAAATTCACAGTCTGGGGCTGGAGTGATGGCTCAGCAGTGAAGACCATGTGGTGGTCTTGCAGAAAACTCAAGTTTGGTTCCCATGTCTTGGTCCCCACATCTAGCAACTCACAACTGATTGTAACTCGGCTCAAGGGGAATCTGATGCCTTCTTTGGCCTCCATAGGTACTTCACACACACACACACACACACACACACACACACACACACACACACAGAGAGTCATGGAATGTTTTTATTTCTGAGATAGGGTCTCCCTGTATATAGACCAGAGACACAAAGATCTGCCTGCTTCTGCCTGTCAAGTGCAGGGATTAAAGGTGTATACCACCACACCCATCAAATACATATAACTTTAAAAAAATCTTTAAAAAAAAGTCCATAGTCTGATTTTAAAGAGTCATGTAGGCTGGCTGGGTGGGTAGAGATGCCATCTAAACTAAGGTAACCTGTGGAGTTTCCTTCACTGCTTTTCT